AAGAGATAAGGCAAATGCAAAGATGACTTGTTTATAGGTTTTGTAGATTGACAGAAGAACATTTAGCAAGGGTTATGATTCGGAACACAAATATATTGTTTTTCTCTGCATGGTGATTTGCATATAGGCATACAGAGATTAAAAATATGAATAAATAAATGCACCCCGCATACCAACTTTATTAACAATAATCCATTTTCAAACAATTAGCAGTCCATAAAGGCATGTTACATCACGTTATAAATTTCAGCAATTTATAAACTTTTTCCTTTTTTTTCTTTTTTTTTTTCCTTTTTTTTTCCTTTTTTTTTCTTTTTTTTTTAAATTTTCTCTCAACTTTGGAGACAAAGAACACATCAGAGAAAAGTCACCTAAGGATGCAAAATCTTAAGGAAATCCTAAATACAGGAAAAGAAGAAGTTAGAAATGAAAACATCTGACTGTTTTTGTCATCTTAAACTACAAAAAAACACTGTCATCTTTGCAGACACAACACATGAGCCTGTAAGATGTGGATGTGAAGGAACAGAGACTACCCAAGCTTACCTGCATGGAAACTGTGAAATTGCCTGGAAAATTTGGGGAATACGGAGCCGAGCATTTATTAGGAAGATTGTCACTGATTCTGAGTAGAAACGAAGAAAGAGTTCCATTCAAACTTAAGTGAAGAGAAAGAATTCGGCAACTTCAGAAGTTTATATAGCAATATGGAGAAGCACAGAAAGGAGACAAACAGTTCAAAGTACAATATAACAGTGAAAAGTACTTTTTTTTTTTTTTTAATTTATAATGCATTTCCTTCAGTTGCCTGTGCTCATCCTTTTTTGTTCAGCTTAAGACATTTGTGCAAAAAAGCTTCTTTAACATTTTGTGAACAAACACAAAAATCGCTAGATTTTTATGTCTCCACATGCACATGGTTTTGTTCAATTTATTCAAGCACTCACACTCTCAGAAAGTAAGAACAATTTTGTCCAGCAAGCAAGAACTACAGACAGGTCCCTGCTGATTAACGGATGCCTTTGAAGAACCTTTTTCTGGTGAAAACTTATCAGTAGAAGATGTGTTTGTTGGATTCCTGACTGCAGCATATTTCTTTCTTGAACCACAGGAAGTAGGATGAAGGGCAGAGGAGATAGTGATTTGGGATAAACCTGGAGCACTGGGACTACAGTTCCAGCCCGAAGCCTAACTTGAAGGAGGGGAAATGCGAGTCTCATAAGGAACAGGATGACAAATCCTTCCTTCTTCTAATGTATGCCCAGATTTGGAATTTAGAAACACCAATAAAGGCAAGCAGTAGCTAAGTACAGGCAGGAAAAGGCAATAACAACTCATTTGAAGCAATTACAAATGTCAGAGTTAAATCAGAAAAGCCCTATCAGCGAAAGATCGTTGATCTTTTGAAATGCTCCTGAAAAATCCCTGCAAAATAGGCACTAGAAAGTTGGCTTTGAATCTGCTAGACTTACGGAGAAACACTAAATTACTGTGTCACATATAGACTCCTTTCCTAATGCAATACAAGTCAATATAATACACACAAGTATTTCATATTTCCTCATCCAAAACTCTACATTTCCCTGTCATGTTTCAGGGGTTTGCATCCTGTAGCACATGATTCCTACATTTTCCTTAATTTTAGAAACCTAGCAAGGACAAGGCGGGTTTTTAATCATTGACACTGCTCAGCACTAGGAATAAAGCTGGATGAAATGAACATTCTACCCCTAGGGGATATGGATTGGAGCTGGAATGCCCAAGTTGCATACAGAGTTGCCTTGCCCTTCTGTCCTTCCTGAGAGCTGATGCATTTAGAAAGTGATTATATTGGTAGAAAGGGATTAGCAGACACCACACTAACAGATCATGCTTTCTGAAGGTTCTAGAGGAAAAACTAAGGAGAGGTGGAGAGGTTCTGGGGACCAAATTTAACAGAATTGAATTCCCTGCTTTTTCAGTTTGCCTAACACTGAGAAAAAGTATAGTGAAATAGGTATCTTAACAGGGTCAAAAATTGTCTGAGCTCTCCCAAACAAGCAGCTTCAGAAAAACAAAATCCTGGAAAATGCACAGTAAGAACTTGAGAATTTATCAAGATGAATACAGAAAGATGATCTGACACTCTGTACTTAAAAATCTTCTATATTCTGGCTTCTGATTACAATTTATTTAAAAAGTGTTTGGAAAACATCATCACTTGTGGCAAAAAAGTCTGTATCTCTAAGGAGATCACAGATTTGTAGACAGTATCCTAATTTATTATTTCAGTATACCACCTCAGGGGTACCCAGCTGCTGGCAAAAGTAATTTTAAGATTTTATTTACTCAGTTTTCTTTCATTTTTTTTCCTCCAAATCTGATTCAACAGGTTTGACTACCCTTCCTCCAGACAGCTCCCAGGAGAGTTAGTGAAGACAGCGTGGTACGGCAGGGTCTGCAGAACCATGCCAGCAGCCTCAGACACTCTCAGCAATTCAACCAGACAACTAGTATCTAAATTCAATAATCACAATCTTCCACCTCATGACTGGTTTTCACCATGGAGAACTCCAGGGATAGTCACTTGCCGGTAAGCCCTCCTTTTAGTGCTAGTACTCAGTCTAGGCTTCAGCGACTACCTATCTAAAGCTCTCGAGATGTGCCTACTCTGGTAGGAGCAGAGAAGCACACGTATATACACATCATCCAGCCCTTTGGCAGGTTGTGTCCCCAGTGTCGGGGTTTGGGAAGCATCAGTACAGCTTATTTAAGGTCCAGCTGAAGTTTCTCAATTCCCAGTGTAAGAAAGCTGTGACCACCACAGTACTGCTTATTAGAGAAGCTCTCTCATTCAAAGTCATTAGGTATTTTTGCAGGTCAAGCACTGGCAAGGCAGACGAGCAACGTTACAAACATTACATTTTCAGGATCTAATTCATGTGATTCTCTCTACTGCTATCTATTAGTTATATGATACAACTGTTTTTATAGTAAAGTAGGGCCGGTAGGGCCTACTTAATTGGGACAGTCTAACATATGGACAATTGTTCAAACCACAAATTATCTTAATTTTGTACAGGCAGAGATGGATCTTAAAAGCTCTATAGGGATCAGAGTTGTTAAAAAACTTCTAAGGAGGGCTTTGTGGACTAGATGGGCGTAGTCAGAAAATCCAGAAATTCACAATGAAGAACTCTCCCAGTTCACTTTAGCATTGGGATAAACTGCTCAGCCTGTGATTTTTATCCTTTTTGTCACTAGTGGGGCTGAAAGTGGTTCGGAAGGGAGAGACTTGGAACACTTGGTCAAGCATGTTGTTGGGAAGTACTATTGTACAGCCAAATTTTCCTACCAGGGCCCTCCTCTTGAAGCTACAACATTATGCTTGCAGGCTACATGCTTATTTATTCCCATGTGTTACATTTGGACACCATGTGCATATAGTGTAGATATATATATATACACATACATATGTGTATATATATATATATATACAGATTCATTTATAACACATCTACTAAAACAAAGGGATCTCGGGAAGAGAGAAACTTTTAAATACCACATTTACAGAAGAAGAAAAGATAAAAGCTTCCAAAAAACTTAATTCTATGTGTTTTTTAATTGCTCCTTTCACCAAGGTAAAAGCACTTTTACTATATTCAACTTACAAAAGCCTGAAGACATCCTTGGTGTTTACTTTTAGTTCTAATCCAGTTCTTTTGTTACTGAATCAGTTCAGAAAAACATTTAAACATACACTTAAGTACATTCTTAATGTTAAGCGACTTCCTGAATGTCTAATAATTTTAAGTAATATTAACAAACATTCTTTAATAAACAATTCCTTTTAATATCTGTTCACAATGCAGTGCTGCTCTCATATTCTTTCACATTTCCCTGCTTTTACTACTAATAGTAGTACTAGTAATAAGATGCAGAAAGTTGCTTCATGCTTTTGATAGTCAAGGCTTAATGGCTTTGAAGAGGCTCATTTTCAGAAGCAGACCACTTCAGAAAATCAGGTTCTCAACCCTACATCAGTAATTTTTTGGGCAAACTTGACTTGCTCTACTAGGCAAACTCTTATATCCATAGCAACACACAAAGGCTTCCAGTTTGACTCTGTGGTTTTGTAACTATTGCCTTGTGAATAGTTGTTGGAAATGATCGCAACTGGTATGTGCATATGATCATGCACACATCTCTGTGTGTGTGTGTGTGTGTGTGAGGTACAAACTGGTGTTTGCAAATACAAAGTGTCCTCTCTTCTTCTCTTTCCTCAAATCTCAGTCAGACAAGTTTCCACAAGTAAATAGATTTTCCTAAAACACTCTCCACCAAATATCTTTCTTTTCCCCAAAAAACATGTGTGTTACATTCACTAATGGGACAAGTTCTGTGACAAAGTGCTTCAGCAGTGGGACAGCAGAAAGACTGTGGAGGCAGTGCAGGAGGGAGAAGGACAGTACACCAGCCTTGCAGTCTTATCCCAACCCAGTGATCCCGGGTGTGCTCCAGCACAGGGTTGGGTATTACTCTTCCTGACAGTATGAGGATGAGAGCATTTCCACTTTCTCCACTACCCCAGCCACGCACCCCCTTCTCTCCCACCACTCTCAGCTCTGGAGTTGCAATGGGAACCTCCTGTTTCAAGGCCTACTCATAACCTTCAGGATGCCAGTGAAATCCAGAAATTTTTCTCCTACATTTCAGCAATGCTACCACAAGTTGTACTTGCATAAGGACAAAAACACAAAGAAGAAATAAGCAACAGGAGACTGTGTAAGGGGATGGGGAAAAAAGCAACACTCTTACTGTTTTTGGCACGTAATGTCTTTTAATACAAAGCTTGATAACTGGTCACACTTTACAATGGTCCAGGAACAATCCACAAGCTCCTAAGTGGCATAATTTAACAAATGCCCTGAAGAACAGGCTTAGTTCAGAAGTGTTCAAAAGAAAAAAAAAAGATTGAAATGCATTTGATATGTAAATCTAACCAGCAAGTAGAGCTGCTTACAGAGCCATACAAAAGGGATTTATCCCCTTTTAGATTCCTGGCTTTATAATGGCAGTGGTGATTTTAGGGACATCCTTAGTCAACTTCAGAACTCCATATTTGGTATAAATATGCTAGCTCAATAAAGTGAGGCTGACCAAAAGAAATTGAAAAAAAAAAATGTGCTAAGATTTCCAAATTTATCCTTTTTCCATCTCAGAGAAGAAAATGACACTTCTCATCCGTTACTGGGGATGGTGTGTGAAGTGGGATGAAGCCACCATGCAGACATACACACACCCAAGAGAGCATCTTCCTCCTGCAGTCTTGCTGCTACAATTTTCTCAAACCCAAAACAGCCTCTCTCCTCTCAAAAGTGGAAAAGAAACATATCATTCCAAGTCATGGTTAGTCTGATGTTGTAGCTACTTATGTAGCCTCTCCTGTGACAAGGACAACATTTGGCAAGTCCTTGTCTCTCGAGAAGCTGCATGTAGTTTGTGGCACTGCCACAAAAGTAGACTGCAAACACAGAACTTCTACTTAACACACCAATAAAAATCCCAATCTAAAAATGTTACAGATGACGTTGATCCAATATTCCTCCTACACACACAAAGCCTAAGATTGTCATAAGGACTACTCTTCATTAAATTTTCATTAAATGGACTGTTACACTAAATAAGCAAATTACTTCTTAGAACCACAGCACACAGTTCCAGTCAGAATAATGCAGAAGGCATGACTTGTATCAGGCAGATTTTCAATCCTGTTACCAAAACTATCAATCATGTCTTGTCTAACAAGAATCCTTCAACATTATCATTTCAGTGTTATTTATACAATTTATAATTTAATACACATTATAATTTAATGTTACAAGGAATGCAGATTGGTTTTAAGTTGTCTTCTTTATGCAGAAGAAAGTTTGCATTGATGTACTTGTATGCATTTCTATTGACTTCAGTCAAATTTGCAGGAAGATGTAAACAAGATAAATGTTGTCTGGAGTAGCATGAGCTAACCAAAGCTTCACTTGTAGACTAAGGGTCTATTTCCCTGCTTCTTTTGGTCTCAAAAAGACAGAAAAAACAATATTCCTCTCATGTTTTCATGGAAGAAGCCTCTGAGTTGGAGCTAAAATTCTCGGTCAAAACCAAAGAAAACATTTACCTCAGAGATGTTTTTCAGCTTTACCGGCAAACTCAACTGGGAAACCTCCTCAGATGAAGGTCTCAGAGGCAAAGCACCAGCTATCCCCCT